ATCTCCCCTCCTGTTTTCTTAAACAATACTCCCCTCCCAACTGCGGACAAGGTGCGGTACTTACGGACTGGAAGTGTGGGGTTCAGCCAAACATTCCAATATCCACCGTATTCAAACTGCCCAGTCTATAATACTACGAAAAATACTAGATGCTCCATTTTATGTATCGAACCAAACTACACATACAGATTTACATATTCCTTTCGTACAAGCAGACGAATCCCCTCAAACCCTCCCCGCCGACTGAAGAGACAATGGCCGCGAGATCTCCTAGGAAGTGATGGTGATGACAGTGAAAGTGATAATGACACACGTATCAATTGAACAAACAATATTATTGTAACATTGGATTATACCAATGGGTGTTTTCTTCACTCTTGGTTTTAATTTTGTTTTGTTTTAATTACCTTTCTCACTGTTACTTATTACCTACTTTAAGATAGTTGTAATGTACAACAAATTAAATTTTTAAAAAAAGTTGTTTAGAAATGTAACAACTAATAACAAGAAAAAAGGGGATGATCTCTCGTCACTCGCCGGGGTGTCACAAAGTTCAGTTTTTGGCCCCACATTATTTAACGTTTATATTTATGACTTAAACAAATTAAAGTCGCTAGCTACGCTTATAACACGATTTTTTTAATGTATTCATTTAAAACCGACACTATCGCATAATTTATCTATAGACCTACAAAAATGTTTTCAATATTTCAACAAATGAAAAATTAAACCCAACATTGGCAAACCTCAGGAAATATTACTCACTAAAAAGAGGCTCGAAGAGTATATAATGTAAATATCGATCAAATACCATGAAAAAGCTCCATAAAATATTTACCAAAAAATAGCAGCTGCTTTCCAAGCTTACACCTACAGAACCCAGTCCTCATCAAGAGCGGTATGAAGCAGCACAACGCTTGTTGGAGACGGCGTACGATGTTTAACCAGTCTCTTTATCATGTCTCACAAGTGTTTTATAGGAATGTCAGGAGAAGCTGCTGACCAAATCACAGTGGTAATCCCTACATCCTCAAAGTAATAGATGACAACTCGAGCTACATGTCTCAATGAATCGGGCGAATGGGATCCTTTTTCGACGTATCATAGTACAGTCAAAGATCCATTCTGTACGATAATCAGTTCGGTACGGGTATGTACGTTCAATCCCATACCATAACTGAATATCTTTAAAAATGCTTGGCATACGAAGCAAAGCTTTCTCCATGTCTACTCCATAATCCAGGTGCAGATCATCTAATTGCCGTATATCAAACCTGCACTCATCTGTGAAGAGAACAGCGAGATGCTGATTTGCGAATAGTCGCCTTTCTACTTGCCTCTTCAGTAGTAGAAGACCTGATGCGGGACGTCTATGCTATTCTTACGAAACCTATTACTGACCGGTTGGACTCGACCACTTACCATGGAAGTCTTTATAAATGATGGTTCAATAGTGGGATAAAAGCAATAAAACAATCTTCTCTAGACGAGAAACAGGAGAAGAAGAAATATCTTATTAAACAGCAGTGATCATATACCCCCTTCTGACTTACTATACCTTCCTAGTTCCTTAGTTCAGTGCAATAGACTCAACACTTTTTTAAAGAACTATTAGGTCATTGGCTATCGCTGTTACAATTTCATTCCCTCGTTGTTTTTTTCGTAACCTAAGTTATGTGTCCATTGTTGCTTCGCATTAGAAGATGCATATATACATTATTTATAAAGAACAAAAGAACCGCCTTGTTTATTTATTAACCAGTATGCTATTTTGGCAGCTTAAGTTTGGAAAAAGGTTCACTCCCAATAGTTTTAGCAAAATATGTTTAATTTAAACTTTCTTGATGCTTCTTTCGACGTTTGTGTGTGTACGTCAAGTGGGATTGGAGTAGTAAGTCAGGGTTATTTTCTTTCTTGCCAAATAGTAGTGTAGTCTAATTTTGGGCCATCCTTGTCACTGTATAGAACTCGTTCTTATCCTTTGCAATAGCACAATCGTGTACATCATATAATATAACATGAACTTAATTTATCGTGTGGTTTTAATGGCGAATAAAACGATTGATTGACACTTATTGCTAATTGGAAGTATTGACGTCTTGTTTCCGTGTGTTAAAAGTAAAACGCGATTTCTCTAATTTATTTATGTTTAACACGACCTCGATTCACCGTTCTTGCTAGTAATCACTTTGAAAAAACCCTTTTTAAGTGTGTCGGCAGTATCGACATTAATTTTCTCTTTGGGTTGATTTTCAAATGGCGATTCAGGGGCACGGGACGTTGAATTTCAAACAGGAGCCAAGTGATGTTCAACGGATGAGTTCTCGGGTGGCTACCATGTCCAAGCAATTTATTTTGATGCGAGGGAATAGGACGAGCATGTCTGACTCACATTCCGTAGACGCGTTATTCCAAGGAGCAAAAACGATTGCTCAGCGTTTGGTTTTTCTGCTTCGGTTTGAGACTTTTTCTTGTAAATGCACTTGCAACTGGTGACTCATATGTGCGGAAAAATGTCACTGAACTCTATCACATCAAACGGTCGGTACGTTATCGGAAAAAATTTGAAATCGGAAAAAAAACATTTACGTTCATTGTTCGATTTGTAAGTAGAAAAACAGCAATTTTTTTACTTGCTTAACCCCGAAAAAGATCGGTTACTCTGGGGTGAGTGTGTGATGTCTGGAGGGTAAAAGTAAGTTGTTAATAAGAATGGGACAGAAATAATGTTCGGGTAATTTTATAACAAATTTAAAAATGTTATTAAATCAGCTATAAAAAAATTTAATAACAAAAGAAATCAAAACATTATATACGAAAAATAAAATACACGACAAAACTATTAATAGATAAACAGAAAAAGGACTTAAAACAAAAAAAATGTTGGTTTTTCGATTTTTTCCCAGAATCGAAGTACTTTTTTGGTGGAACTAAATCGTCAAATTTTGAATATCAAAGAAGCCTTTTAGTTCCAATTGAAGGCTTCATTAATATTCAAATTTTGATGAAAAACAGATAGCCCTAATGTTTATTTTTAAATATAATTAGAAAGCAGTTTAAGTTCCATGTCTTGATCATTAAGTTAAGATGCTGTAAAGTCGTAAGAATTTAAAAACGTTATAATTCCAAAAGCAGATGTACCCAACTTGTAATTTGGTCGTAACCTGGCCGGCCTATCGTGTCATAGACTCACTGATGATGGAAAAATGTCGAAACTAGGATTAGTTCATTAGAAATTAAAGTTAGATTAGCTGTATCAATCTATTGATGCTGCCTCGTCATTGTATTCAGTAGAATTGTTATCACTTGGCCATTTCAACGAAATAGACAAATTACAAGTATGGCATTTTAAGCAACTAATTACTTAGTCACAAATTCACCTAGTATATTATGTGAGGATCAAACTTATAAGTTTCAATAAGCACTTGAGGGGGCGTCGGTGATCGCAACGTTTTAGGCGTTGATACGGCGGTCATCACTGTAAGGTAAAGGTCCCGGGTTCGAATCCAGCGGCGATCTATTCGAAACCGACGTACTAACAAACGGGTTAAAAAAAAAAAAGGGTTTATATGACCTCTGCTGTTGCTAACCCTCGTAAAAAATGGAGTAGTAGAACCCCGTCCCGTGGAATATAGAATTTTTCGAGCCCATCATCAGAGTGAAGGGCGTTTTCGCGTTGGCGGGGGTATCGGCGGGTTCACTTTTGCAATGTCGAGAGACGTGTTTGTAGAAAACCTTCAACCTGATGATGAGCTAAAGGGCTCGAAATCCGGATTGTTGCGAAACAACTTACTGTGAGTAGGAACCATCTTTTTAAAAAGGATTGAACTCCACACCCACTCCATCATTCATCATTTCTATCACAGAAAGAAGCTCGCTCAAAAACACTTTTCTATCCTATTTAATTAAACTTGGATGTAGAAAAGTTTGATGAATTAGGATCTTCACAAGAAACGTTCTTAGCCTTACGATTCAATTATTGTAATATTAATATTCAATCATCATAAAAATTATTGTTAGTACTATAATGTCATTTATTTATTCTTCTACATAATTATTATCATCAGGTTTTAGGTTTCATTTGCTTGAAAAAAAGGTTTCATTTGCTTGAAAATGGTTTCATTTGATTGAAAAAAGGTTCATTTGATTGAAAAAAAGGTTTCATTTTATTGAAAAATGGTTTCATTTTATTGAAAAAAAGTTTCATTTGAATGAAAAATGCTATATCGAGTACTCTAGGGGAGTGAACAGATTTCTATGTTTGTCGTGATGCATACGATACAAAATTATACTGTGATCATAGATCATTTTTAATTACCACTATTTCCAACATCTAAATTCAAAATTACATGTTTCTCGGACCTCATTTGATTCATTCAATAGAATAAGAAGAGACTGTGGGTTTGATTGGTAGTAAAATTTCGAAAAAAAGCGACGTTTTATTGCGATCGCAGGCCAATACATTCTTTTTACATTTCATTCATGAAATAATTATCTGCATCTTGCAATGCCGTCTTGTAGTTATATAATAATATGCAAACGTTATCAAAGATTATTTTAAAAAACTCTGATAAAAACTATTTTTAACAATAAGAAACACATTTCATTCAATTTAATTTGAATTTGACGTTGTACATTACGATATTTTTAAATTGCGATTTCTTGTCTTATCTCTGGGGTTAAGAAACTCTATTTTGTTTGTTGGGAAAAAGGTTTTAAAAAAGTGAGATCTCTTTTTGATGAACGAGGGGTGATGAACCTGTAGCATGGTCGTTTACGATTATTCGGGCCTCCCTATTCTCGCATCTAACAAGTCGAAATGTCAAAATGATCGAAAACTAACAAGCCACAAAAAAAAAATGATGTACAAAACACAAATAAAACCGAATTTTTATTGTTTCCTTTAATAAAGTTACTATATTAGGTTTTTTAATTCTACACACTGTTATGGGTTTTTAAATAATGTAATACTAACTCTTTTCTGTCTTGTTTGTTTACAGAACGGACGAACTTGCCAACAAAGCACGAAGTAGAATACGTTAAGCCGCTTAAAATGAGGCTACCTCTTCACGAGAGAGACGTCCTGTATCCTGAAGAGGACAGCAAACAGCGTAAGTATAAATACTATTATTTTCATCCTTGTTCTTAAGAAAATAGCTCACAAAGCTTTCGTCGTCAGAAAATTTGCTTTTTTCACGTAACCCTTGGAATTCGTACGCCGAGGGCGAAATGGGAAACACGATCTCGACCCGTAGTTAATTGTTAACAAGCACGTAAATCTTTCCTGGTGCATCAGTTTTATTTGATGTTTGTTGTTTTATCAGTCTTGGTACACGGTAGGATTTCATCAATAACTGACGAATAAAAAAGTCCTTTATTATGAAATTCCACGGTTAAGTTTGTATTCCTTTTATAGAACCACTCTGGTCGGTGGTATTATCAATCATCTTTGGAATAATTGACAGATTTTAAGATTTATGTTATTCTACTTGAACGTATTTGATTGTCGTGAAAGGCTGAAGCCTCTTTTGTGCTTTCACTTTGAAAATTCTCTCAATCAGTCGTTAGTTGAAAAAACAAATTTAAAAAAATAAAAAATTAGCTTCAAATCAAACAAATATCGCATTATTCAGTGCAATTTTAATGTTAACAAATTCAAAAACTGGTTCTGTTGGGATAAAAGTGCGTTTTTTTATATTCCAATTTGAACTTAAAACACACCAGCCTGATTCCACATCAAAATATTACTTTTTTTACAATTAATTAAGGTTTTTAGTTGAGATAAAAAAGTTAATCACACGAGCGGGATTCGAACCCACTATCTTCGGCTAGATACGCCGTTGCTCTACCACTTGAGCTATCGTGACCTCGTCCACTCGAACACTAGCTTCCCACCTCAATTCCACTTTTCGAATTTTCCGTCCTTTTTGCCATTTTTCAATTTATTTATTTTAATTTTTTTTTTTACTGACTGGGGCTTCATACTTCACACATTCATAGGTTCTCAAAGTTCGAGCGGCGATGATGACGTTATATTTCACCCTCACCCCTCGCCATTCACGCTAATAAATACATGCATTCATACATAACATATAGACACACAACACATAAGACATATTATATACAATTTTAAAAAAAGAAAAACAATTTCCCCTAAAAAACGGAACAGGGGACCCAGAAGCCCGCTGCCGTGCTCGAGTACCATTTTCAGATTGGATTGTATGCCTACACGCTCCCTGTAGGGAGCCAAGGCATGACATATTTCCAGTATGTGGGACACAACGAGCAACTTTTCTCTGCATAAAGGGCATCTGCGCCGGCTTTGGCACAAAAGTTCAAAAGCGGGCGCCCGTAATATTGATTGTTATCCATGTCATTGCGAAAATCATTAATTTTTCAACGTTTAAGATAAACAGTAAATATCTACGGTCATAAAGGATGATGCTGATCCTCCATTCGTACAATATTTTATCTTCTATCCCATTAGAAAGTAATTAGATGTCTTTGTGACGATGCAGAATCAGCCGCGTTAGACTTCTCCAATCTTAGTGTCATCGGGTGTTAAAACTTGTTGTTCTCGCATGAATCTTAACAGTGATGAGACATTTTCTTGTCGTCTCTGTCCGGAGTTATTTATAATGTTTACGCTTTTATCTCGGAAGGGTGGATAACGTGTTGCATTGTGATCCGACCCTAATCATCTTGCATTTATTAATCTGCGTTGAAAGGATCAAAAAGCGTCCTTGGATCCTATTGATTGATTTCACTAATGATTTATGCTGACGAACTTAACAAACAGACGTCAGTGTTCTTCAAGGAGGCAATTCAAATCGTTTGGCCGCCGCTTCCGTGACTTTTTCGCATTCCCTTTGCTTCAGTTCCGCTTAAGAAGGGGTTCATGTTCCTGTATCCATAGTAGAGACAAACCATTTGATTTGTGGATCTGCAGCCATAATAGAGAAAATATATTGGAGATCATAAAGTGCATACAAAATGTAGTATAACCTTTTAAATTTACAAATGTGTATTTCCAAAATAGAAAAGCTTTCAGGAAGTACATGGATGTTTCCTGAAGAGAGAAAACATTTTGTGGTTCATGAATACATGAATACTTCGGGGTCTATGTTGGTTGCATTGCAGACTTCAAAAACACATCTGAATTTCGTTTACCGTATAGACCATGAGCAAAGACATCAACGACAAAAACGTTAATTATAAGCGAAACAAACAAGGCGATACATGCTTCAATAAAAAAATAATAATTTGCATCCTTCACTTCTTCTCTTTTTGTTCTGTCATCTTGTCGGGACGGCGGATAATTTTATCGTTTATATATCTGATATATTGTGAAAAAAATTGGCTGATGAACCAAAACGAAAAATCAATTTCGACAACTCACTGAACAAAGGGCAAAATTTACTCGTTACTAAGTTCAAAGTTATCAAATATGAAAAATTACAAATATCGAATATATTTTATCACATCAAGGTCGTTTAATTAAAAATTATATACTTAATGTACCTATCCATACGAAAACTTGGGTGGTTCTTGAATGTGTATTCCATAACAGAGAAGACTTTTGGGGTCTTTATGAATATATATCTAAAACACACGAAACGTTTTTCCCCTTCATGAAGGTGTATCCATAATTGAGAACGGTCTTGGTGGTTCAACAATGTGTATCTTAATAGAGGAAATAGTTTGTTATTCATGAACGTGCATGCTTAACAGAAGAAATCTTTTAGGGTTTATGAATGTGTATCCATATCACAGGAATATTTTTTTTTTGTTTCTGAATGTATATCCATAATAAAAGTCTCATTTTGGGGTGTACGAATCCATCTCCAATCTATATCCATAAAAGACGAAACTTTTTTGTATAATGAATGTATATATGCATAATAAAGTAAACCTGTCAGGCTTCATAAATGTGCATCTGTGACATTAGAAACATTTTGAGGTTTATTAATGTGTATCCACATCCTAGGAATGATTTTTTTGGTTTATGAATGTATATCCATAATATAAGCCTCATTTTGGGGTATACGAATCCACCTCTCATCTGTATTCATTACAGACGAAACTTTTTTGTTGAATGAATGTGTATCCATAATAGAGGAAATTTTTCAGGCTTCGTGAATGTGTATCCATGACAGAAGATACATTTCGGGGTATACGAATGTGTATGCTTTACAGAGCAAACGTTTTTGGTATAATTAATATGTATCAACAATACAGAAACCTTTGAGGCTTTATGAAGTATAATAAAAGAAACATTTTGGGGGTCATGCATGTTTATCCATAATAGAGGAAACTTTTTTGGTATAATTAAGGTGTATCAATAATACATAAAACCTTTGAGCCTTTATGAATGGGTATCCATGATAAAAGAAACATGAATGGATATCCATTATAAAAGAAATTTGGTGGTCATGAATATAAATCTAAAATGGAGAAAATTTTGGGTTTTATGAACGTGTTTCCATAAAAGAGTAAACTTTGCTTACGAATGTGTATTGATAACAACGAAAACGTTTCGCTGTTCTCACGCGTGTGTCCATAAAAAAAGAAACGTTTTGAAGTCCGTTCCGCGAACTTTGAATGATCTTTTTACAGCATTGAGTTCGGGTTGATATGTCTTGATCCCTCATAAAACTGCCTGCATAGCTAACCTCTGTAAACGACTCGTTTAAAATCCTCTAAAAAATCAATTATTTTGATGATTCACGTTTGTTTATAAGAGATTTTTATGGATGTCTTTTATCTAACTTTTAGGACTCTAATGAATCAATCAAAGAAAAGAACAAACAAATGCTTCTGACCCACATCCACATAAATAAAAACACCTATCTTCCATTAAACACTTTCTAACGCAAGCCTTGCTTATTTCGGATAGGATTTTTTTTTATAGGAGTCATGATAAGCCACTTTTAGATCACAACTGGCAGATGCACTTAGATGATTCTCTTTTCCCTTATTGGAAAGTATTACGCAGATATTAATGTAACACTTCCATTAAGAAGAGAGTTTGGATTTCACAATTGGGTGATCGTTAAGAAATTTATTGTCGACGTGTACAAAGTGAATATACTATTTAAATTGGGACAGTGTTATTTTTGTACCTTTGTTGTTTTTTTTCATGTCACCGTTCATAAAAGAGGTTATCGAATGTTGTGGAATTGAACATTTTCAATACAAAAAACATTTGAAGTCATATAATTTCAATTTAAAAGTTTAATTTAGGTTTAAATGTGTTTAAAACGCTGTGTTACTTTTTAAATGTAAAAGATGTTTTATTTGTATAAAATCATAATATTTGGTTTTTGAATAGCTATTACTGAGCTTGTAAAGTCAACATATCAATAAAACCTGACATTTACTGTTCATTTGCATATGTATAATTGTGAAGTTCAGTCGGTTGGTATATAAGTTGGTCGACCTTGATCATCCCGTTCCTCTGTATGTTTTGGTCAGCCTCGTTTTGGCGTTCCGCCAATCTTTTCGTTTGTCTGCCAGACAAAACATAAAGAAAAAACATAAAAGACAAGGCATAAGCGGGGCAGATTTGAAACGTGCAAAATGAGGGGAGGTGTTGCAAAACGCATTTTGTATTCAAATCGCATAGGAAATGCAAGTCAGCGTGTTACTATTTAGATGGTATCATGGGTTTTAATGGGTTAAAGGTAATTTTAGAATAGGTTAATCGCAAAGTACTGATTGGCAGAAAGATAAAATTACAATGCCTTTTTCAGAATTGAAAAAAAAAAATCCGGATTAAAATTGATAATGGATGCGGCGTGTTAACAAGGATTGCCAAATAGAATTGAATAAATGTTATTCGACTCGGGAGGGTTGGATTCTGTGAAATTGCACCTAACAGGACAAACATGCCTTTCCACCGTTGTCGGCACGAAAGCCGAAACAAGAGCCGAATTAGTGGCAGGTCCGAGGAACACAAAAAAGGAACGAGGAAGAATGAAGGTAGAAAAAAAAGGAAGAATCTCCCCCCAAAAAAGAGGACCGGTTCGTTTGATCGGTTCCCCTTTTCCGGCAATACGCAGTCCCAGCTGCTTATCAAACATTTCAAAAATATATTTGTGTTTCTATTTCCTGGTGAAGGGTTTCGTATTTACCAAAAATTTACCAAAAACTCTAAATGGCCACGCGAATTACGTTCATCTGTCATTTTCTGCTCCATTTGATTAAATAAATTCTTGTGAAATTTACTTAACATAATTATTTTTAAATAGACCTAAGGATGTTGCATATAAACCTACAATATGTAAAAGTATAAATTTTGTGTAAACACTTAAAAGTAATAAATATATTTCAATTATTAAGGTTTTTAGTTGAGATAAAAAGTTATTTTGCCCATTTTGTTATAAAAAGCATACCACCACAGGCTTCTTCCGTCAGGCGTAACCTAGCAAAATTTTCCGATCGGTAAAACTGGCACAAAACAGGCCTCGAATCGAATTGTACAAAAAAAATATGGGATTCTCATTTAAAATAACAAAGTTAATGTCATTTCCAAGCTAGATGAGAAAGTTATGTTAAATCTGTTGCCACACGCGATTCCTAGCCAAAATTAACTTGGGGTTTGTATAAGACCATTTTTTGCTAAAGGTAATCGTTTTCGTATTAAATGGTAGACTGTAGAAGTTGATAAACCCTGTATTTAAATTCACTAGTTTTCGTGGTCCGCTTGACCAAATAATATCTTTCAATTAATTAATATGTATTTAAGGTATTGGTTGAGATAAAAAAGCCAGTGTCACAAATTGGATTCGAACCCACGACCTTCGGCTAGATACGCCTCTGCTCTACCACTTGAGCTATCGTGACTTCGATCCACTCGGACACTAACTTCCCATCTCAACCCCACCTTTTGAATTTTCCCTCCTTTCTGCGTATCTAGCCTAAGGTCGTGGGTTCGAATCCCGTTCGCGACACTGACTTTTTAATCTCAACTAAAAACCTTAATAAATTGAAAAGAATTTATTTGGTCAAGCGACCACGAAACTAATAAAATGTAATAATCAAAATGAAGTATACTTCACTAAAGCTCTCCGTGGCCATTTCATTTGTCGCCGAGAATCACATAGATTACACGACATTTGAAAAATGGCAAAAAGGAGGGAAAATTAAAAAAAGGTGGGGTTGAGATGGAAAGTTAGCGTCCAAGTGGATCGAAGTCACGATAGCTCGAGTGATAGAGTAGAGGCGTATCAAGCCGAAAGTCGTGGGTTCGAATCCCACTCGTGCCACTGACTTTTTTATCTCAACTAAAAACCATAATTAATTGAAAAATATTAATTGGTCAAGCGGACCACGAAAACTAGTAAATTTAGTAATAAATATAGTTTTTGCAATTTCATTCCCTGGTGAGGGTCGATGCAATATTAAGTACCCTCAATCAGGTATGCTGACATGTACAGAGGGTGATAGAAGAATATCGAGTACTGAATGAATGGTATTTAAATAGGAGAGTCTATTTTTAAGAATGAGTGTGAGTGGGAATAGGTTTGGAACTGGATGCCTTGGATACCGAATGGGCCTAGATGTTGTCGGCATCCGGATCCCAATCCCGTTGGGATATTCTCATGGCCTTCCGAAAATTTATTGTTTAATAGCAAAAGCTGGAATTACCGGTGGACTGAGAAAAGTGATAGGCTCAACTCCCTATACGAGTGTATATGTGCGGATTTGATCTTATATAAATCCAAATCATCCTCTCAAGCTTTTAATTTTTCATACCATTTCTCTATTTATTTACATGTGAAAAGCGTAACTAATAAACAGTTATAGAGTGAAAGACAGTGACAGTGTGTGTTTACACATGAAATAGCCTCACGTATTTGCAACTTTCGACAATCCGACTTTGACTTAAGACTAATTAGTAAGATGGCCGCATTTTAAATATTTCTTTGTTTTTGCTTACGGCACAGAAGCTTTTGTTCTGTAGAAATTTGCCCAGGTTTACATATGTTGAATTTGCATAAGAAAAATAACGAAATAGCCGACTGAAGGTACTAGAACGAGACCATTTATCTTCATGACCTAGTTATTTTATCGTTATTCGCTGATGTCCATTCGATACGACGCCTATAAAAAATACTACAATTCTGTTATCGAATGTAAAATGGGAATAATATCCTCTGTAACCTTTTGTATTTTTTTTAACATCTGATTTTGATATAATTCCTTAACTTAATCAACATAACTGGGATTTTTATTTAGAAATCGTGAGATGCGGTCTGGTGAGATGTAGGTTTCAGAAAAACATTTTCTTTATCGTGCCAATGTTTCGATCTTTATTGAGATCATCTTCAGGGCTCAAAGTGTTTGTTTTATGCGTAATTGCGTCCATTCTCAACACGACACGCAGAAAACAAACACTGAGCTCTGAAGATGATCTCAATAAAGATCGAAACGTTGGCACGATAAAAAAAAATGTTTTTCTGAAACCTACATCTCACCAGACCGCATGTCACGATCTCTGAATAATCATCGACAAACGGTCACTAATCACACATAACTGTAATTCTTGCATTTCAAAGATAAAATAGATTTTATCTTAAAAAAAGTTTTTTTTAAATAAAATTTATTATCGCTTTTGAGCCAAAGTTTTCAGTTGCCACAGTTTAGCAGCTTACTTAAAAGTAACGAAATATAATTTAATTTAATCCTTTGTTTTTCAGAAGGGACGATCCACCATTCCGGGCACTTTCGAGAGCGGATGGCCGAAATCTGGGACCCACACCCAGAATACGAATTTACTGGGTTCGGGAAGCATTTCCATCTTCAACTGGCTCAAAGTCAAGAACCTTTTGTAGTTCCGGGCATTAAGGTGAGTTGTAAAAGTATTTTAACTCAATTATAACAGTAAGTGAATTATGTACGAAACAAATTCTATCGGGCCCAGTTTGCTAGTCGGTGAAATCATGTTAAACTTTTCGGCCTACGTCATCTTCAATGAAGATCTCTGGTTTTAGCTCTAAACTCGTGAGAGAGTAGAAAAACCCAGTAGAATGATCGATATCGTTATTTCGACACGGCCGACACGAAAGCTCCGTTTTGAAATGGACCTGTTGGAGGATTCACGTGCTCCGGCGAATTCAGTGAATGGATTTTCCTAATAGCTAATTTTGAAGATATGTTGAAACCTCAATTGTTGACATTCGGGCTTTTTTTTATAAAAGTTGTGGCATTATCGTGACCAAGGGAGATAATAACGGACCAGAGTCCTAACACGTACAACGTTAGGAAATGTATAATTCCCTTTATGAAAGGAATCTGTACAGGAAATTGTTGACTGGATCGTAATCTTCCTTGCAAACAGCAACTACCCACGAGTACCACTGTTCTTATTTTTCGATGTCGATTTAGAACTTATCGATATTTATCAAAATCAACACTTTGAGCCCTGAAGATGATCTCAATAAAGATCGAAACGTAGGAACGGTAAAGACAATGTTTTTCTGAAACCTACATCTCACTAAACCGCATCTCACAATTTCTGAATAATCAATTTATCAAGATGTCCGATAAGACTCGAAATTCTTTGAAAAAAGCTCTTAAATTAGTTTAACATTTCATGTTATGTGATTTCTCTGTGTGGTTGGGGAGTGATGATCCTGTAATTTGGAAGTTCTAGTTCATCCTAATCTGCTACGAATCAGGCGAAATGCAGTCTTGACAGACCCACACAGCCGTCAGGTTAGGCACGCCAAAAAGATGGTTAACGACCCAGATTTCAGGTCCATCCTCAAACTAAGTTTTCATTATATAAATCAAATCAAATACATCAACTTTAGAATACCGAAAAAGTAGCATTCAGGATTTCAATTCAAGGTTGCTCAGGGAGAAACTTAATCCTTTTCAAATCCTTACTCTGCCTAGAAAGTGCTTTACACGAAGGTGATTCAGTTTATCGCCAGTAGAAACCGTTCTTTTTATCATCACTCAACACATTCGGAGCGATTTAGTTTTAGAACTAGTAATCTCGTATAAAACTAATGGCATAGAACTTGTCACTTTTATATTCTAGTTTCACTTTCCTCTCTACAAACTATCCGTTGGGAAATCGTTATCGCACATAACGAAACGTTTTGTTTCTTCAGTAATTAAAAACAGACAGATACAGTTTCTGGAATGATTCACAAACTACAAGTGCGAAAAAAGACAAGTCGTCTTTTAACAAGGTCTAATAAAAGGCAATTTAACCGGCGACCTTTCAAACTGTTTCGCTGCTGAGAAATTCACGTTCTGAATGAACGTTATTTATCGTTTTCCGTCTGACACCTCAGAATTCTTCTAATCCATTAGACGTTTCACATGTCAACCTGTTATAACATTATTTTTGTGTTCTTTAATAGCGATTACTCTTCTCTCAGAATCAACCATGAATTTCGTTATGGATACGACCAATAAATAAATATTTTTAGTATAAGAGGTCCTTGACCAGCAACGAGCAGCACCAACAGCTTTGATTTGAAAAATTTAACGTTAACATTTAGTCCGTGAAAACGAAGAAGTGCTCATGGTGACCATAAATGGAAATAATAAGCTAGATTTAGAGCTAGAAACTCGTCGCCATCAACGTAACTTTGCAAGATCTGAATGAACTTAGGCCTCACAGTCTTCTGGGCAGGAAGGAACGTAATGAAAATCATTTCGAAAGCACATGTCATATGATACTTGATCAAAGATTATAATGTTTTTTTTTCGGAGGATGAACCTCTGTTCGGAACCTCTCCGACACTTAGGTAGAACCGCTCTTAGAACAACCAATCCTTGTCAGTTGAGCACAGCTTGTGAAAAAACGTTTTAGTGACATAACGAACTGTGAGTAGGAACTGTCTTTTAAGGACATTAACAAACTTTTGGCCACACACTTCCCGTTTTAATTTTAATGAAATCTGAATTTAATTTTAATGAAAAATCACAATATCATCTATTACCACACAAACCATATAGTCTAGATCTCCCTCCTTCAGAATTTGCCTATGATGACTCAAGACATACTTAGTTCAATTGGAAAACTGTACAAGTCTGAGGAAGTTCAAAAAGCGGTAGGCGGTTCCAGAAGTCCAAAAAGCAGTAGGCGAGTCCTAAAGAGGTTCCAGAAGTCTAAAAAGCGGTAGGCGAGTCCTAAAGCGGTTCCGGAAGTCCAAAAAGCGGTAGGCGAGTCCTAAAGCGGTTCCAGAAGTCCAAAAAGCGGTAGGCGAGTCCTAAAGAACATGAAATATTTTCAAATGTTCTGAGAGGTTTAGAGTTGCAAAATCGGTAGTCTTGTTTTTGATCAGTTTGTTCTTTGATAATTGTTTAGCTTTCTAATTCCGTTTTAATTTTCAATGAATGTATTTCTTTATAGCCAGTGTTCTTTTTATAAGTTCGTAAAAGGTGACAAAAAATATTTCGCTGTCTTGTTTGTATGTATTTAGTCTTGTTTTTTCATTGTTCTTTTTTCTATTTAATTCATATAATGTCTTGTGTTCATAAAGGTCAAAAATGATAGACATAAGAACAAGGTTTGGATTCACAAATGTGTATCATAGCATATGAAACTTTTTGGGTTCAAGAATGTGTTTCCATGACTGAGGAAACATTTCGGAGTTCAAGAACGTGTTCCTATTTCAGAAGAAACTTTCTGGGCTCATAAATGTGTTTCCATATTAGAGGAAATTTTTGGGGTTCATGAACCCGTAAGAGCGGACACCTTTTCGTATTTACAAATACAACAAAAGGCATTTAACATGAAAAAATCACAGTATACAGAGATCAACTGCAGCTTACATACATCTCTTACCATATGAGATATAAGATATACGAATTAACAACAAAACGAACCGATTATCACATCCGTCATCGTTAATCCGTCAAAGGGCTTTCTGTTACCTCCAAACTTCTCAGATCAAGGAAACAGGGACCAAAATTCCATCACTGAAGTTTGCAAGAAGCCAGTCCTAACGACACCCGCTTGACGGAAGAAAACATCGAGAATAAGCAAAACGATCAAACTCCGAATTTTATTTTACATTTTTTGTTGAAAAACTGGCATTTTTGTTCAATTTTTTGTGTTATCTGTATTTTACATCAAGAGGTGGGGAAAATTTTAGTAATAGAGATTGGGAATTTTGACTGTTCATGTTATTGAAACAAAACTGATAAATTATTTATTATTAATGATAAATAATTCAGAAATTTATTGTTTTTGGCAGGTGCTGCACGTCTGGGAAAACGTCACAGTGGTGGAAGAGCCGAAACTGCGGCCAGAAGGCTGTTTTTACTCGGGGCGCGTGAAAGACGACCCCAACTCCCTAGTCACCGTCAACCTCTGCCACGGGATGGTGAGTCAACTTGTTTTTTCTAATCCACCTGAAAACAAACCGGCCAGACCAAACACGACAAGAAAACGGTAGCAACACACAAACAGGTAACTCGGACTATCGGGACCGTCGATAAATCAGATAAAGCCACCAGAGGCGGTCGCCCACGGGAAAATGGAGTAGAGAACGATAGGAAGCCTGATAAAAAAGATCTTGGCCACACACGTCGACTCCATTAACACCGAGAAGTCTCATTCATACTCGTTTTTAATAAATGCACATTGTAACTATTCCCTGATGTAATTTGTTACTGTGAAGTTCATTACTTTCCTTGTCTTAATCAGCTGCAAACATCTGTTTCACCTGCAGATTGCAGAATTTAAATCACTCTTACAAACCCACTTCTGAAGATAGATCGAAGCCTTTAAGCGGGAAACACATTTACTCGGTGCGATGCTACCCAATGCTACCCGACGCCTTGTCACTTTTGGTAGGGTGTGCACATCTATGCGACGTCAAGCGCACACGTAAATGGATTAATACATTACAGCGTGTATCACAATAATTACTCTCACAATCGCAACGCCTCTTATGCTCTTATTGCATGCATTTTTATGAGCACAACCATGAAATCAATTGTTTTAAATAGTGTTATTCCGGTGTTTTGATAAATTTTCTTCTTAACCATCATAACTAAATAATTTGTATTAAAACAAATGAATTTTTGATCTCGTTTAATTTGATCTATATTAAAATAAGAACATTGTAATTAATGTAACGACGAAATTACAGGCAGATAGTTTGAAATAAACTACAAAAAATATGAGTGTCCTGTTCTGACGCTACTCGACGAAAACTGTAATTTTATGAGCAAAACCATGAAATAAATTGTTAGTTAAATTTTATGAGCAAAACCGTGTATTAAATTGTTAGTTAAATTCATAATATCAAAAAATGGTATTCCCGTGTTTTGATAAATTTTCTTCTTAAGCATCATAATTAAATAATTTCTATTCAAACTAATGAATTTTTGATCTCGTTTAATTTGATTTATATTAAAATAAGAATGTAATTAATATAACGACCGAATTACATGTATATAGTTTGAAATAAACTGCAAAAAATTTGAGTGTCCTGTTCTGACGCTACTCGACGAAAACGGTATAATTTTTATGAGCAAAAGCATGTAATAAATTGTTAGTTTAATTCATTATGTTAAAAAATGGTATTCCGGTGTTTTGATAAATTTTCTTCCTAACTATCATAATTAAATAATTTTTATTCAAACTAATGAATTTTTGATCTCGCTTATTTTGATTTATATTAAAATAAGAACGTTGTATTTAATATAACGACAAAATTACATGCAAATAGTTTGAAATAAACGAAAAAAAATGAGCGTCCTGTTCTGACGCTACTCGAAGAAAACGGTATAATTTTTATGTGCAAAACCATGAAATAAATTGTTAGATAAATTTTATGAGCAAAACTGTGTAATTAATTGTTAGTTAAATTGATTATATCAAAAAAATGGCATTCCGGTGTTTTGATAAATTTTCTTCCTATCATAATTAAATAATTTTTATAAAACTCATGAATTTTTTATCTCGTTTCATTTGATATATTTGATAAGAATGTTTAATTAATATAACGATAAAATTACGTACAAATAGTTTGAAATAAACTACAAAAAATATGAGTGTTCTGTTCTGACGCTACTCGACGAAAACGGTGTAATTTTATGAGCAAAACCATGAAATAAATGGTTAGTTAAATTTTATGAGCAAAACCATGAAATAAATTGTTACTTAATTTTATGAGAAAAACCATGAAATAAACTTTTAGTTAAATTTTATGATCAAAACCATGAAATAAATGTTAGTTAAATTTTATGACCAACACCATGAAATAAATTGTTAGTTAAATTGTATGAACAAAACCATGAGATAAATTGTTAGTTAAATTTTATGACCAATACCATGAAATAAATTGTTTGTTAAATCCATTATATCAAAAAATGGTATCCGGTGTATTTATATATTTATATTAAACTAAGTAAGTTGTAATTAATATAACGGCAATAATACATGTAGTTCGAATAAAAATATGAATGTCCGGTTATATTGTCTTCGACTGTACTCGATGCGACCCGACGAAAATCTGGACAGTGGGGATCGCGTAGCGTAGAGTAGGGTAGCGTAGCATAACATCGGGTACGTGTGCACGGAGTTTGTATTTGCGTCGGGTAGCGACGCATAGCGTTGCATCGGGTTGCAGCGATGATAGGGAGACTAAAAAATTATGTACGTATCTTATTAAAAAATTAAATTTGTTTTATCAACACTCTGTCTTGTTAATTAAGATTTTAAACGGATGTAATATAATTCTTGAATATTTCAATTATTAAAACTTGATGTCTCTTGTAGCCGGTTCTTCGAATATCTCGATTTAGTATCAGTTTACAGAGAGACGACCACAAAATGACGGTTGAAAAGAGAATAAATTTGCAAAATCTCTTTTCAAGGGCGTATTAATTGTATTGACAGCAATTTAACTTTTTGCCAGATCCTTTCCATACGGGTTCTCTGATACAGAAATAGACTTTTTTTAAACTTGGACAAGTGTTGAGGAATCTCTTCTGGGTGAGCGCAGACTATTTGTAAACCGCTTTCACTCAAAGCTTATTGTAGATCCTTTCGGGCTTTTTCACCGTCACATCCATTGATGACGTTAATATATTTCTTTAATATGTAAAAGTTGTGAATTTTATTCTCCAATAAGCGGCCCGATGGACATTCAACCGAAAATAGATCCGTCCTTGACATAGATAAACAGAAACGTGCGTATTGAGATGGGGAGATTGAATAGTGTGTGCTTTACCAATAAACATGGGGCCAACACACGACCTAACGGCTATGTAACACGGTCATAGGAGTCACAACATGGCCTATTGTCTGAAAGGAAGGACGGAATGGGTTCGTCGTACTCCCTTTTCGTCTCATATTCCAACTTTAGTACACTATTGGAAAGTTGCCATTTTAAAATCCCATACTAATTTCGTCTTCGCTGGTTTTCGTTATGTATTTCCGTTTTGTGGTAAACTTGTTAGGATATTTTGGAAAAGAAATGGGCAGAAAATCTAGAACCGACTCATACGTTATCACTCTATATATAAATTGACAGCTTTTATTTTACATTTATTTCACTGTCTAAAATTACTATTTAAATTTATTATATCTCAAAAGAAATACTGCCTATAAACTCTGCTGGTTATATTTATTATTGTATCTATTTATTTATTTTTTTTAGTTTTAATATTTCCGAACGACAAGGTTTCTTTCTGTTTGGCTATGTGTTTGTAAGAAAAAAATATTAACGACACTTGCTACTCAAACTAATCATCTGTAATTTATATTGAATGAAATGAAACAACGTTTTGCGGTATTTTAAAGGTCTAAATCAACAAGGAGATGTAACAAAATATTTCGCAATTTTTTTTAGAATAATTAAACAACAGAAAATGAGCGGAATGAAAAGCTGTTGTAACAGAAGCTTCGACAAGATCTTTAATATACTTTCCTAAATTTCAGAATTATTTTTTTAAATAATAAATCTCAATAAATAATCAATTTCTCACAATATAAAAAACACACATATTCGGTATTTTAAACAATAAAAAACAATGAACTATTAAATTCACCTCAGATGTATTGGAAGGGGAAGTTCTATGTTCTATATTACTCTCTATCTTTGTGCCAAGCTTTGAGATTTTCTAGAAAATAGATGCCGGAAATGACTCAACAGCGGCGACATATCAAAATGAATACATAAACAATATAAAAACGGAAAAAACAAAACACTTGTAAGGTCATCTTAGGTGTGTTGCAAGAGGAGGTTCTATCTCCCATAAAATTCTCCATATTTGTGTCAGACTTTGGCGATTTTCTGAAAACTAAATGTAGGAAATGGCAATATTGACGAAATATCAAAATTAATAAATAAACAATAGAAAAAGAGCGGAAAAACAAAACTCTTTTAGTCATCCTAGGTGTGTTGCAAGGGGAAGTTCTATCTCCCATAATATTCTCCATATTCGTGTCAGACTTTGGCGATTTTGTGGGAAAAATGTAGGAAATGACTCAACATTGGCAAAATATCAAAATGAATACATGAACAATATAAAAAGAATGTTAAAAACAAAACTCTTTTAAAGTCCATATTGGACGATTTTCTGGAAAACAGATAAATATAAAACGGGTTAATATTAATGGGCACATGGAAATAATATCATTATTTTAATTGAGAATCCAAAATTGATTTGCAAAAAGATTCCATTTCTAGATCAATACTGCGAACTCAACAAAATTACGAAAATAGAACAAAAATAAAGGTTTTGTAAGAAAAAAAAGGTCACCTAGAAATAAAAATGATTAAATAAAGAAATTTGTCTATTTTAGGCCAAAATTAATCTACATCTGATCTATCACTTGAGCATGTGAAATGCTCTTTATCTAAATGAAAAACAAATTTATTATATTCAATGTATATTCAGTTTTATAAAATATATATTTTTATAATGCAAAGTGGGTTTCAAATTGTGAAAAAGCAATAAAACCAAAAAAAGGACTTCATTTCACATCATCTAATACTTCAAAGACAAAGTAAATGAATTGAAAGTGTATTTTTTATATATAACTTTATTTGTTAGCACATATTTTATTTAAATCATTAAAGCACCTTTATCCTTTAAAGAGAAATAGGTGAAGTAAGTTGAGATTTTCATAGAGGCTTCAATTAAGTTATTATTTGGTTGTTTAAATTGTTGGCTTGGTTGTACAAGTTAAAAAGGGTTAGAATAAAATTGTTCACTCTTGACTTACGAAACAATTTATTTCACGGCCTAATGAATAAATTTATAATAAAATTGTACTCAAAGCAGTGAGATTTTTAATGGATTTATGTTTTTTGTAGAGACAATTGAAATAAGAACTCAATATGTTCAATTCAATCCCTTCAAATTT